TGCAGGTGAGCCCCCAGGACCTTCATACCCACCCTTCCAGCCCTTCTTGCAGGCTGTGGCTGACAGGGGTGCGGGGAGGAGGCAGCGGAGCCAGGACTCTCGCTCCTGCCCCAGGAGAAGCTGGAAAGGAGTCCATGGGCAGCACAAGATACAGGGGATGGGTGCAGCTCCCCTGTGTGCTGCTGTACTGCTGGGAGCCTGGGACCTTCTGGGGACAGCAGATGGGTGCCCCTCTTCATAGTACCTGCAGCATGGAGGAGGAAAGCCCAGGCTCAAATGCGTGACTGTCTCAGATGTAGCTGGAGCTGTGTGGCCAACGTGAGGGCAAGCAGCCACCAAAAAACCTTCTGTCCCACCCGAGGAAGAATTTCCCCACCTCTTCTTTGAGGGGGACAGTAGGCAAGACTTTCATCAGGGGCTGCAAGCCTGTGCTTGAGAGAAAAGCAGGAAAAGATAAACGCAGTTTGTAAGGGTGATTTACCCTTTGTCATCTCTTAGTGTATCATTTTAATTTGCTCTGTGAAGGGAGCAGCCTTTGAATACCTCTGAAGAACCAGGTGAAGATTGTTTCATATTGACCAACAGCTTTTCCCCAGCACCACATGACCTTCTGCCTCCAGCACAGAAGGAATGCAGGTATTTCCTGACACTCTCCATCTGAGGAGAGCAATCTTGTGCACACATGTCCCAGCTGCATGGCCCCAGCCCGTCACTCCTGCACTGCTGCTGTCATGACCTGAAGAGCCAGGCCATGCTCAGGATCGATGGTGCAGTATGGTTCTCTGCTGCAGCAGCTCCAGAGGCATTATCAACATTTGAGTGGTTTTTTTTGGTAGTAAAAACATTGAAGAAGACCATAAAGTCTCATGATAGCCCTCATCCAGGGCTGTGCTGAGTGTTGGTGTGGGAGCAGCTTGCAGGAAGTGGCCCCATGATGTCCACATATTATCTAGGAATAGATTTGCAAGGTGGGCACCTAAGGAAATAAATCTGCATGTGCTAGAGAGTGAGAGCTGCTGTGCCCCTTGGACCGAGCATGCTGGTGGCAGGGCCTCCAGGGCTTGCCCATCAAACCAAGCAGGGCTTGATCAGAGTATCTGCAGTGTTGTACGTGGCCCACCAAGGATGGACATCTTCCATCTCCCTGTTGGTCTGGGTTGCTTACCCTCCAGGGAAAGGTTTCTTTCCTAACTCTTGACCTGAACATCTCAGGACTGCAGTTTCAGCCTGTTGCTTTTTGGTCTGGAACCTGTCACTACCAAGAAGAGGTTGACTCCATCAACTGCCCTTCCAGCAGTTGTAGTCTCCTATCAGATTCCCCCTTGGCCTCCCCTATCCTAGACTAAACAAGTTCAACAGACCCCCGTGTACCTCAGGAACAACTGCTAATGCAGTTAAATATTTACTTTAGTTGAGGGATTTCCAAAGTGGAATAATAATAAAAGCCAAAGGTTATTGAGCTGTGTAAACTCCATGAAGAGGGAATATAAAACATGTGCAACAGCCGCCTTGGCAGAGCGGAGGAATGGTTCTGCAAGGGGAACTCTGAATTGATCACCTTCCCCCTTCCCAAAACCCAACCACAGCCCTGCTGAGTTGGATGGAAGGACCACCCAAGGGCAAGGATGGCAGCAGCCCCATGCAGGCAGGGCCCATACCCTTCTGGCCACAGGAGGTTCTCACCAAGCTGTTCCCTCTTGTCTCAGCTGGCTGGGGCCAGCATGTTCCTTCCTAAGCCTCAGGTAAGACTGTGGGAAAGAAATGTCCTGAGCACGGTCATGGCCAGCTCCTCAGCAAGTGCAAAAGTGCATGCTGTGGGTGTCTGGAGCTCTCCATCCACCAAAAACTGGTGGTTTCTGTAGGGCACCTACCTCTGGCTGTCTCCTGTGCACACAGCACCTCCTACCTGCTCCTTGTGTGAAGGAGGCCCTATGTAATTTATGGCCCAGACTTCATCTTGGTAACTCTGTCCCAAAGAAGCTTTTGGTCAACACTGGTCTTCAGCTATGACACCAGCTTTCCACCCAATGGTCCTGTTCTCCATCCTTCACCTTTCGGATTCACCAGAGGGAGATGGGGACAGATGAGGAAAATTCAGCACCTCAGGAAGAGGTGGTGAGGATGCTCACACAGAAAGACTGATGTCAAGTGTCCAGTCTTTTAGGCAAAGTAGCTGGCATCTTCTGGGGTGGTGATGCTTGCTGAGAAGTCCTTCACTGAAGAGTTGGTGCCTCCTACCACCAGGGATCCTCTCTGGCCTCTCTGTCCCCTCCCTGCTGTATGTGCCACCTCTGCATATTTAAACTGAGTATCCATTAACACATCCCCCTTTCATCACACTGGATCTTATGATAAAGGTCATTTTGTTGTGTCAATCTCAGCTGCAACCCTATTGTCATGGGTGGAGCATAGGCAGTGACTGCACCTACTGCTCCCACTCAACTGAATTTCGTTCCCTTCAGCCCTTCTGCATCCCAGCCTGTCCCATCCTACCCAGTGATGGGGTGGGCTTGCCACAGCATGATGGTAGACCTCCTGTGTGTTTGAGAACCCCCTTCTGGGGTCCTGCCAAGTGCATCAGGCAGATGAGTATCTGCCTGGCCGGCTCTCATGGGACAATGGTCAGGCCACAGTGCAGCCAGCAAAATCAGCCTGAATTTCCTGGCTTTTACATGTGAAGTCTCCCAACCCAAGTGGAGATACCTGCCACCTATGAAGAACGGCAGCTGGAGAGCTGGAGGGCTGGTTCAGGTGAAATACACCTGGCTGGGTGGAGCAGGGAAGAGCAGCATTGCCCAACCCAAACTACACTGCTAAGGGATTGTAAAGCTGGCTCCAGTGCCAGCACCTGGAGCTGGCAGGTGGCACTGGGGTGGTTTATCAGTTGTATGAGAGTGCCCAAGTGATCCCTCTGGGTGCACAGTCCAGCTGCTCCCAGCGCAGATCAAACGCTTCCCAAAATGCTGCTTTTCCCAGCACTGCTGAGATAAGCCGGTGCCCTCCCCTATAAAGGCAGCGTGAGCAGAGCGAGGTGCGTGATTGTGTGCACCTGAAACAGCCATGCCTGCGAGGGAGCTGGTGGTGGTGGCAGCAGTGCTGGTGACTCTCCTCGCTGCTGGTGGTAAGTCTGCTCTGCTGCAGGCAGCTGGCCCTTGGATGGTGGGTGGGGAACCATGGAGGGACCAAGAATGGGTAGGTGGGCAGAAAGAACCAGAAACTCTGGTTTGGAGAGGAGGCGAGGAGAGGAAGCAAACACAGCCGCAGTGTGGTGGGGAAGGACTGGAACAAACACCCTGTGCCCTATTAGCAGTGAGGGGGCAAGGCTTACAGGCTGGTTCATTGGCCGTATTGCACTCGGGAGAGGGATGGGACAGGGGACAGCCTGAGATGTGAACAGGAACCAGGATGTGGGAGGACAGCACATACACTGGGATGGCAGCTACAGCTCTTCCTGCCTCCATGAAGACCTGCAAGCCTTTGCAAGGGCACTATGTGCTCAGCATATTCAGGTGGGAAGCAGCTGGTTTTAGGCTCTGGAAAACCGGTGATACCCAGGTGGTGGTGGTCTTGCAGCAGCCTGTGTGCAAGCCCTCACGCTCCCAGGACGTTTGTGCACCACACAGATAGACTGTCAGCTGTTGCTACTGCTCTGCCTGACTGCAGAAAAGGAACCCACCGAATGCTGCTCTCCCTGGGGATGACTGTTGTCCGGCTGTGTAGTGTTACCCAGCCTCAGCCCTCCACAGATACCCCATGTCCCCACGCAGCACTGCATGGGTGCACATTTCCTGGGATGTGTTGGATGCTCTCTCTGGTCCAGACCCTGGGAGAGAGGGCTGTCAGGAGCGGGATTAGGGAGTGGGAACAGGCATTCCCAGTTCTGTCCCAGCTGGCTCAGCTGCAGAAGGAGGCTGTGCACTGTGCTTCTGGGAGGGTGGGAGATGGCACGCAGCAAACTCATCCCCCCCTCAGAAAACCCACCCAGATGATCCAGGTGCTGAGTGGGCCCTGCACAACCCTGCCTTCCCTTTGGTTTGGACATGACCCTCTGTCAGCACCTCATGCTCCTGCCACTGATCACAGGTGTGCCATGCTCACAGGTCTCTGTTCTGTTTCAGGGGCAGAGGTGAACGAAGGGAATGGACTGAGAAGGGTAAGAGGTTTCTGGCTTTCCTTGTTCATGGCTTGAGATAGGACTTAGTGCCTAGCATGCCTGGGAGAAAGGCTGTTGCTAGCATTCATCCCCATACTCATGGGTACTGGTGCACTAGCATCAGTCCTGCATTAAAGCCCAGGTTGTGGGTCCCACCAAGGGACATGGTGTTCTCTCCTTCCTGCTCTCCTGTGCACACGCTGCCCTGTCTGGGGCGGAGAGAACCAGGTCACCAGTAGCACTTCCTCCTGCCTGGGTGCTGTGGGAGGAAGAGATGGGTGCTGCTGCCACCAAAACATGTGCTGTGGTTTCTCCTTTCCAGCCTGTGTGTGGAGACATGGTCGAGCTGCAGGCCTGCCCCCTCCTGCACTTGCCTGTCTGTGGGACCGATGGGAATACCTACGCCAATGAATGCCAGCTCTGTGTGCAGCAAATGTAAGCTCATGCCCTTGGCAGAGAACTCCAGGGGTCTAATTTTGTCTGTCTGATACTAGGCGCCTGTCAAATACCATCACTCAGGCTCCTCCGTGTCTGGGGAAAGCCATGGCAGATGGGAAGCACACGTGTTCCTGCAAGCAAAGTGGAGGAGGAATTTTTAATGGAAGCTGAGACAGGTGCTGGGCTGTGAAGCCTGTGAGCTTCACCGTCCTGCACTGGCAGTGCCCGTGGATAGGTGCAGGCATGCCCCCAGCCCTTGCCTGCAGGTTCCTGCCCCATCCTTGGCACCACGTTTACTGACTGCTGTGCAGCTGCAGGCTGAGGGATTTAGCTCATTGTGTTGGTGGGGAACTAATCCCACTGAAGAGCTGAATAATCATCCATCGGATCAGCTGGCTAAATCAGACCATTCTGTGGCTGCATGATCAGCAGATCCAAAAGGTGAGGTCAGGTGTCCGTGTGCCTGCGAGCTGGCAACAAATCAGATGCTTCTCAGAGGATGGGGAAGGTCCCACTGTGCTGCCTACAATTAGAGAAGGGAGAGTTGAACTTAGGTAGGCAAAAAGGACAACTAGGCATCTAGCCTGGACCTAGTCAAATGGCACCATTAAGTCCTTCAAAGAGACCTCTGTGAATGCAGATGCCCAGTTATGTGCCTCATGGCTCTTTTGGCAAAGCTTCAAGCCAAAGGTAGTACCCTAAACTCGACGACTAAGGCAACAAGGACCTCATGAGAAGTAAAAGGGTTGCTTTGGGGCAGTGATTTTGTCCAGGTTGGGAAGTGACTGTCTGAGCAGGGTTTCTGGCTAGAAAGGGACTGAGGCTGAAGATTGGGTTGAACACAGGTCAGCAGTGCACTTGCGTGGCAAATAACACAAACTGTGTGCTGGGTGGCAGGAGGAGAGCAATGCCCAGCTTGCCAAGGGAAGCTCCAAGGAGGTGCAGAGGAGCTGCATCTGGCTAGTCAGGGGAAGGAGAGGTGTGGGGGTATCTAGCAGCAGCCTGTGGCTGCAAATGGGATGGAGCCATTCTCTTGATAGTAGCAGCTGATGGAACATTGGGCAACAGCCACAAGCAGCATCCCCAGAGGATACAGGTTGGACATGGGGGGTGGTGCACCACAGAGTTAGGGGGGGTTTCCATCCTTGGGTGGGGTGGTTAGGGCTCAGAGCCATTGGCCACCATGACCTCACACTGGGGACAGCCCTGCTGTCAGCAGGTTGGCCTGGAGACCTACCACTAGGGTTGCACACCTGGGGAGGGGACATCTGTGGACCAGGATGGCTTGCAGTCCCCTCGGCTTTTTAGACACAAAAATGAGCAGGCCAACTTTCTAATAGTCAGCTCCATTCCACAGGCTGGATGGGAGCCAAACTATCACTTGGGGAAGGTTTTTTTCAGCTCTTACTCTTTTTTCCTACATTATTCTAGGAAAACCAGGCAAGACATCCGGATTTTGAAAGACGGGGAGTGTCAAGATACCTGAGATTTCTGGTAGCTTTCCTGAGCCTAGAGACAGGTGATTAATTGATCCTGTGTACTCTGTGCTGATTGCGCATTTAAGTTAGCAATGGTGAATAATAAAATGACATGCACAATCTTATTTCAACATCACTTTTTTATGCAAGTCTGAGGGAAAACAGCACAAGCCAGTTCCCACAAAGGGCTACTAAAAGCATATAGTCAAAACTTTCATTTCAAATCCATATCACACACCATGGCTCTGCACTGTGAGTATTATTTTGCCCACGTTCCTGTGAGAAAGGCTGTGTGGGAGTAGCAGGAAACACACATATCCCAGTGAAGAAGGTGTTGAACAAGTGCATTTTTTTTTCTGTAGGAGGCAATTTAGCAAAGGGAAAGTAAAGTTTCTTCAGCGTGGGAGAAGACAACTCCCTGGCTCCCTAGAAAACATCACCGCTTCCAGATCTGTTGTGAATTGAAAACAGTGTCATCTGCACTTCTCATGTTATTCAGCTTTGATCCAAGAACCTTTCACAACAGAAATCAGCCCAGATAACACATGGGAGCATGGGAAGAGCCCAGGTGGAGACCCTCAACACAAGGGACCCCAGATCCTTGCTCCAGCACTTGAGAGCAACCACCAAACAGAACTCATTACCCAGAAATGCTCTCTGGGAACTGTGGATTTCCAGCTGGTTGCTAAATTTCAGATCTAGGTTGCTCCTGGTGTCAGGACCATCTTTGGGACTGTGGCAGGGCATAGGCCAACCAAGGTAACAGTGTCAGTGTCCATCAGCAGTCCTTGGGGCTCCCTCCGCTCTTTCATCTCCTACTTCTACCAGATGGGACACAACTCACATTTCACAAAATACCTGTAATGAGGTTGTACAACTTGTGTATGCAAAGGGCTCCCTTTGCTCACAGTGGCAGAGATCAGAGGGTGCTGGCTAATCCAGGACTTGCCTCCTGAATTCACTTCAGTCCTGCACCAGATGTTGTATTTCTACAGAATGACTGGTTGACTTTTCTGATCAGCTTTAGAAAAGCAATGAGTTGCTTTGAAAAGTGCTCCATTGTGAACTGAAACCCTCCAAGGACAGGTCTGTGCTCACCCACAGGGGATCACACTGCTCTGACTTGCTACTAGACTTATTTGCAGGCATCTGGGGAAGGGTCCAAGGTCATCATATGGTCAAGTGAGCTCCCTGAAATCAGTGACCACCCTGCGAGTCTGGAAGCTGTACCAGCATCGTGTCTACTGTGCTTGGCCAGCTGGTCATGTAATCCATCCCCACACACCTCTTCCAGTTCTGCACCTTCCTGGAAACACCAAGTGGGACATTACAACCTCATTACACATGACAAAGCCATTGCTGATAGCTTTAATGCTGCAGCTGGAAGTGGTATTGAGGGGCATGTTTTATGCCATGCTTAGTCAGATGGGAGATCCATCTGACCTGGCATTCACCACTTTTCCACCATCTCTGACAGAGGTGGCTGCTGTCATTAAAAGCTTTTCTGTCATTAAAAGCTCTTCCCCAGGCTGAAAAGCCCTAGCCTGGCTAGTTGCTCTGAGTTGTCCAGAGCTTTTATTGTCCTTGTTTTCCATTCCTGGACCCTTTCCACTTCTGCAGAGGGGGGGACACACGGCTTGCCCGCCTGTCCACAGCTGCTGCTATTAAACCATCTGCTCATTTGTCATGGGGCTCTGCAAGCCCATTTGTCCCCTTCCAGTCCTCAGGTGGTAAGGGAGAGGTGGTCTGGCTGCGTGTTGCTCTCTGTGTTGCCAGTCCTTCTGTGCAGACCTTCAGATGGTGTCTCCCTTGCCCCGCAGGGAAGGGCTTTGGTGGGGTTATCTCCCCCAAAACTCTTCCACAGTGAAGAACACCAATGCACTGCTCATCTGCCACCTGGAGTTTTCTGCTCCTGCTCCTCCCAACCCAGCTGCAGACAGGATGTATTTGGGCAGCCCTGTCCCAGCCCTCTGCCAGAGCTGAGGGGAAAGTTATGCCCAGCGTAGCATGGTGCATAACTGGGACCTGTTCTTTCCCTGGGGAGGGCCATTGGCATCTTCCCTGGGGAGGGAGACCAGCATCTCAGCCCCACTCAGTGGCTTGAGCCACGCAGGCAGAATGGTTGCAGCCTGTCACTGCGTATCCCTTGAGAGCCCTGTCTGTTTATTTGCTGAGGTTAGGAAAAACCAACACAGACAATTTGGGGGCTCTTCTGAAGAGGGAAACCACATGCCTCCAGCAGAACGTGGAGTGTTTATTCAGAAATTGCAGAGCTAAAGCACACACTTGCGGGCCAGACCTGCAAGGTCAAAGCGTGGGCAGCCTCAGGACAGGGTCAGTGTTGACTCTACACACAGCAAATTCAGAGATACTCATCCTCCACAGGGACCGGTGGATTTGCCTGATTATTTCACATGGGGAGGTGAAGGGAATGATTTAACACCACTACAGACCTCAGGGGCTGGTGCAGGATTGCTGGATCCAGACTGCTGCAGAGAGCCTGACTCTGAAGCCTGGCAGATCTGTGTCCAGCAAGGTCAGGTGAGACTCAGGAGGCAGCTGGTGGACAGCAAGACAACTGCAATGGCACTGGTCTGTGGCAGGGGATATGCACATGGATTTGCACTTTTGCATACAGTTTTGCCTGTTGAATTTATCCATCTGTTTCCCATCTTTTCATGCTTCAGTCAAGGCAGGGGAAGGATGGGATTATCTGCTTTCACAGGCACCATGGTTTGTCACACAGAGCTACTGGTAGTCCTGCTCCCAGACAAGCATGTCGCAACCAGCAAGTTGCCCCCAAACCTACCTCAAGTCAGGGAGTGAAGGACAAGCCTGAAAATTGCTTCTCTGTTGTTGTCATGCAAGACAAAACTGGAAGAAGTGCCCTGACACCCTGCTTGAGTGACAGCGATGCATCTTCCCCAGCTGCCCATGTTGATCCCCCAGATAACCTTGGTTCAGGGCTGTGTCCATGACTGCAGGGAGGGATAGGCAGTCTCTGGATATTGCCTTTCAGTAGCAATGCCAGACAGGGGCAAACAGAGATATCACTGACGCTCGTAAAGAGTTTTGACTTATACAGAGGTCCAAAGCCTGGTGTTGCTGTGCCTGCAGTGACAGCAGTCCCAACAGTGCCAGGAGACAGGCCTGGTGGCAGGATTGAGCCCTAGGTCCAGCTATTCCTTGGAAAAAGCATTCCCAGGATTTTTGGTTAATGAAAGCTGTGAGGGTGACCAGCATGGTTAGATGTACTATTTCCCTACTGAGCAGCTCCACTAGCGCTCAAGGAGTCTGTGACACTGGAGCTGCTCAGGTTGCTGGATACCTGGTGAGCTCCTCTAGGGTCCCCCCCTAGGAAGCTGGATGCATCAGTGAAGGTGGCCCAGGGCTAGTTGAACCAAAACGTGGAGAGAAAGAGGAGGGGAGCAGTGCCTGGCACACTGTAAAGTGTCCAGCTGCAACAGCTCATGCAACTGAGACTGGCTGGAAAGTTTAATCTACTTGCACAAATTCATCCATAGCAAAAGGGTGCAGCTTTTGCCACATCTGCTACAGAGCTCTGCTGGAGAAGAAGAGTCTGCTGTGTTACTGGTGCTGATGGGGGACAGAAAGACAACACTGGGCTCTGAAATAAGTCCTGTGTCCCTGGCATTGTGGGCGAATCTCTGCTTCTCAGTCCTTCCACTTCAGAGCAGAGACAACTCGAAATTAGGCAGTGGAGTCTGTAATTTCCACACTGTTATCCATCACCAAAGCATTCTCATGGGATAATAAAATCAATTCCTTAAAGTAATTCACACACAAGAGCCAAATCTTTACAGGGATTTCAGTCCTGAGAGATGCAAGCACAGACTATAAGATTTTAAAGCCCACCTATTTCATTAAGCACCTCTAAAGACTCTGAGGACACCGTGACTCTTTTACAAATGTTTGTTACAAATTTATTGGTTTCTATACAGCTAGAAGATGGCTGGAATGGAGAAACATAAACAGTGCCAGCTCTGCAGTGTCATATGGCAATGTTTGCTGAGTCAAGAGTGATTTATCAGACCTCACCAGGCTTTGGAGTGACTGAGTAGATGGGAGGTGTGAGAAGCTTTTAGCCACAGCCTGAACACTCACCTAGTTCCCATGGAGCACTGAAACATCCAAGGATTTCCACCCTTTCTTCCATGTTTCATGTCACCTGCAAGCAGCCCAGAATATGTCAAGCTCTTTGTAACAGTGCTTCCAGATGTGATGTCCCCCTATGGCCAGGCATATAAAATCATGGAGTAGAATAATTTAGGTTCGAAAAGACCCATCAAGTCCAACTGTTAACACTGCGGAGTCCACCACTAAACCATGTGCCTAAGCACCATGTCTACCGTCTCTTTTAAATACCTTCAGAGGTTTAAAACCACTTCCCTGGGCAGCCTGTTCCAATGCTTGACAACTCTTTCAGTGAAGATCTTCCCAATATCCAACCTAAACCTCCCCTGGCACAACTGGAGGACATTTCCTCTTGTTCTATCACTTGTTACTTGGGAGAAGAGAAGGAGACCCACCTCACTACAACCTCCTTTCAGGTAGTTGTAGAGAGCAATAAGGTCTCCCCTCAGCCTCCTCTTCTCCAGACTAAACAACCCCAGTTCCCTCAGCCACTCCTCATCAGACTTGTTCTCCAGGCCCTTCACCAGCTTTGTTGCCCTTCTTTGGACACGCTCCTGCATCTCAATGTCCTTCTTGTAGTGAGGGGCCCAAAACTGAATACACTATTCAAGGTGTGATATGTTTTCCTCCTCCCCCAGCACTGTCTTTGCATGGTAGAGCATCCCACAAGATACAGTTTTCAGGATGTCTACACGAGGCAAGGTGACACCAGGGCCATACCGCATCACACAGTGCTAGAACATGGACACCCTCACCAGCATGGGACATGTTGCCTTCACTTGTAACTGAGGTACAGGAAACTCCCCCGTGAATGACCTGGAAGCCTCACATCTCTTTATGCCATCCATGGTCC